AAACAATAAAGCAAACTTTTAAATAATAAATAAAGCAATAGATAGATTGATTGATTTATAGTTATATGGACGTGATTATTGTGGTCAATTTAAAGTAGAACAATTTCATAGCAATTTCTAGAAGTACAAAAATTATTTCTTAAAAGAATCTGAAATCAAAACTCTTAATTTCACTTCATATAAATATTTTTAATTAAATCAAAGTAAAATAAAAAATATAAAAATAATACCATCAATAAATAAAATTCGATTACCCAATCAACTGAATTCTAACAAAACCCGATATGAAAATAATTGAGAACTGTATAAGATAAATGAAAGAAAATCGTGGAACATAAAAAGATTTCAATATGTCAGTAGTGAGAAATGGATTTTAGTAATGCCTAGATGCAAGAAGTATAAGAAGATGAATGATATTAGTCATTCAAGCCACACATCATGCATATATGCCATTTACATTACTTTTTGGTAAAAGCATTGGTTGATGCAACCAGCGAATAATAACAGAGCATTTCTAATAGTAGCATTAAAAAATTGTTTAAATTTCGATATTGCGCCGAAGTTTTTTCATAAATAGAAAACCTTAATTTTTTATAACCACTGACACAAATAAAAGCGTACTTATCAATGTAGAAAACTCTTTCTAGCATTCCGTTCATGTTAGTAATGCGAAATAAAATTTATTAAACATCGTGAATGAATGCAGAGACATCGTTCATATATTGGTCATGGTACAAGTTTTATTTTCCAGCTATATATAATAGTTGAGAGAATTCGCAAAGCGGTTGCTTATATCGCCCATCACAAGGAGCAAATAAGTTTTATCGCATCAAATTCCTTATTGCACTTGCTGCAGTTTTATGACAGAGACACCTGCAATGAATCTTTAATATATGTCACATAGGATACATGTCGTGTAAATAAAATTGAGTTCCGATCATAATAAGTTATGGTGGGTATATGGATTCTGTTTTTGCAATGATGTTCAGATATCATTTCGAGGTAGTTGCTGGATGACAACTTAGTTAAAGAAACCAACTTTGGGATAACCATTTGATTTTTTTTTATATCAAATTTTATTCTGGCATAGAAAATACAGTTCTAGGGATTTTCGCCATTTTATGCCCAAAAGAATATATTCACATTTAAAAAAGGAGCCCTAGGAATAATTATGTTTTCTTCATTATCTATTTACTAATAGTAATCTTTTACATCAATGCAAATATTCACATTTCAACCAATTATTAACATCCTATTACTTTAGGGGGTAAATTTATTATATTGGTAAAAGCTCCGAATATATGAAAAATATTAATCAACATCTTTGTTACTCGAAAAATCCTGAACAATATGAAACGATGATCTCTGAGCATATGATCAATCCCAAACATTTTTAACACTAGTCAACCTATCATTTTAAGAAAGATAATTTTAGGATTTATATACTGAAAAAACATTGATCTTAGACGATTTACTGAATCGTGTTTTATTTTCCTAAATTCGACTTGTGTCATAAACGAAGTTATAGTAATCGTCCAAAAATCGAAAATGAACGTTTTTGCATATAAGCACGTTTCTAAACATTTTGGCATACCTTAGAAAAAATTGATGTGAGCGTATATGTGTGAATATAGTATGTATGTATGTATGGATACAATTTTTCATCGAAGTTCTCGGGAGTACCACTTAACCGAATTGAATTATCCAAAAATCATTTGATTTCTTAAGCCACGATGTCATGCACCACTAGTTTACTTTAAGTAAGTTATCATAATTTGATTAAAGTTTGTAAATCTGATTTATCCCTATAACCCTGATTCCATACTCCACAATGATCAAAGTCAATCTTTTGCTAATTTTTAGTTGTTCCACATGGTTTTGTTCATGTACTCAATTTTTAGATTGAGCAAGAAATGGCCTTCCGATCTACCAAACTCCTAGCCCAATGTCTGCACGCGTCCTGACGTAGTACGCCGCATACATCATCACGTCATCGTTCATTTATGTTATTATTTTTGTATTACTGTTTTAATTTAATTTTTATTTCAACTTTTTTCATTTTATATTCAATGTATTGCATTTTGTGTTTTTTTGTATTTTTTTTTTTGCTCATATCAATTTTGTAAATAAGACATTAAAGTCTTGATTAACAAAAATAAATTGTAACAAAAAAAAAAAAAAAAAAAAAAAAAAAATGTACTCAATTTTCAAAAAATGATTTTAAGTAATTTTAAGTTAAGTAGTAAATCAGAAAACTAAATTTACAGCTAAAAAGACAGCTATCTGGTGGCCCTCTAATAGATTTCAATTCCAAACTAACAATTAACCAGTGCATTCATGAAATAGACAGATTGTTTTGGCATTATAACAATATAAACCCGAACAATCACACACAAATTGTATGTACGAGATGTTAAATTTATCAAATTCAATAGTTTATAACCACTTGCTGATTGTATTTTACCCGCCAAAGGGTTACAAAATTACTTTATGAACAATTCTCTAAATGTCGTTTGATAGTATGTTTTCAGGCAACTAGAAAGTGTCAAAACCATTGCCAAAGATGCAAATAGTCAACAATTGCAGACAAAAAACAGTATAATTTCTAGAATATTATGATCTTTAGTTATATGAATTTATATTTTATAAAACCCTAAATTTTTATTTACATTTCGATACAAAATTGATTGCAACGAGAGACACTGTGAATTTCATGGGCTATAGGTGATTATTGGCTTGATTATGGTTCGCATATTATTAATTTAGTACCAAGTGTTAATGAAAGTATTTGAATTCGAGCTTGATGTGCTCTCTAATCAAGCTCGAAATGGAATATTTTCATTAACACTTAGTACTAAATTAATAATATGCGAAACCATAATCAAACCAATAATCACCTACAGCATTTAATTATCAGGATGTTGCAGTAAATCGGACTCATAATTAATAATATAAACGTATCAGGATCAGTCTGTAATAAACAGATACGCATTGACCTCAACAATCCATTTTTAGCTGACCTTATTAAGGGGAGCAGCACCTACTAATAATAATCATGCAAAAATGGATTTTCAATCAAACTAAACAATAACTTAAAAGAAATTTAAATTTTAACTTAACCGAAACCACATTCAGGGACCAAATTTCGAATAAAAGAAAATATGTTATGAGTCTATAATCATATGAGTTGGTAGACAAAACTGTCTAAAAGAAATGTATTTGCTGTTCGATCGACCCTTTCACACATAAAAGCTAACCTGCAAAAGGACAAACGTTAGAATATAAACCTTAGTTTTACTTCACAAATGTGTTATCAAAGTGACAACAGAAAGTTGCACTTATGACAAAAATATTTTTCGACATTTGCGCCTTTTGGAGGTTTGATGTTAGAATTATTTCTAAAGTAAAACGCTTAATCGCACAGCAAAGACATAGCTTTTTTGACAGTTCTTCACAACCACCTCATACGATTATAGACCCGTAAAATATGTAACATTTTTATTTTATCAAAGAATTGGACCTCCAATAGAACATTGTTGAAATACTAACATTCTTTAAAAGATGTTCTAATTTAGTATTACACCATTTGGACTTTTATTAATTACTATTATTAATGTCCCGTAGGGTAAATTATGGTAATCGCAAAAAAACAAAATAATTTTTTTTCATATAATTTTCTGCTTCAAAGGTTTCTGAACATTTGGGCATAATTTGTGTCACAATTTGTGTACATCCAAAAAATGGATGTATATGTGTGTGCGGATACAAATGTTCGTCGATGATTTCGGAAACACAGACCAACCGATTTGAATAATTCAAAACACATTTGATTGGTATTGATGAAGAAACGTGCTGAAAAGTTTTGGCAAAGGCGGCTCTAGCCGTTTGGAAAATACAGGGCAAAGAGAGCCAAAAATGATAGTTCAGTTTTTGTGATAACGGTGCGACCAATTTGAAAGATTCAAAAACATTTTATTTGTAATGACGACATAGAAAACTGATTGAATTTTTGGCAAGCAGTTGCAGCGATTTCCTAGATCCAATACAAAAGAAAGAAAAAGCCATTTGACGGTAAAAAATGATATATAGACATATGCATAGCAAATCATCAGATAGTTTATAGAGTTATTTAATAATAAGTACAAGTTTTTATATTTCTATGCATTTTCAACCAATTCTGCCGCATAACAGAGAAATGTTATGGCAAGGCCATGTTACGTTCCAACTTCCATACATTATGGTACTAAATCATACTGAATACTGTCAAAATGTCATGTATTTGCTGTGCATTCAGGCCTTTTACACATAAACTGCAACGTCACTCGTATGTTATAAACCTGAGTCAGAAAGACCCTGTTATCTAACATCATGTTTTTTATATTTGTGCGGTTTCTAGGTTATGTTGATGACAACCTGAGAAAATCGCCTGACTGCATAGCAACCACATGGCTTTTGTCAATATTTAGAACAAATTTTATGTAAAGTTCGTCATAACATAGTCTTGAAATAACATTGGTCTATTATGAGTCTCTAAAACAGCTAATTTTATCTAGTTTAATTCTAAATAGCTACTTTCATCGTAGAATGAGTAGAAAAGGAGATATTTTAAACGCTATTGACGCTATTTTTCCAAAATGGCAATGGCAAAGTTGAAATTCGTTAAGAGCACATCAAAATCTATAAGATTACCAATTTTTGGGATTCCTCGAGTACTGTGGCAAAACGACCAAATGACAGGACTATAGGAAGCGCGATTGCTTTGAAAAAATGTTAAATATTTTCGAAGAACCTCGCAATATTAAAAACATAAAATTTTTCAAAACAGTCATTTTTTTCAACGATCTCAAAAATGTATATATCACAAACTTCAAAAAAATTTAAAGCTTTTTTAAATAAAAATAATTTTTAGCACGGAAAGTTCCAGCAAATTTACCTTAAGGCACTATGCCATGCACCACTAGTTTACCAATTAGTATTGTTACAAATATTACAAATCTCACCTGAAATCCGTCGTACGTCCACGACCCGAACTTCATGACACACGTCTGTTCGTCGAACGGGAAATATTCGACGTCGATTTCGCAGGAACTCTTGTAAATGGCGGGCGGCCGCCACTCGACTCGGCCTGTGTAGTTCAGCGTGGCTTTGGTGGCCAAAGTCACCTCGAAGTTTCCGTCGGCACTGGGAAAATTCGAAGTTTTCAGTTTCTGATTCCAATTACAGCGATTTGGGAAAGTTTAGGAACACGAGTTTGTTGGTCTAGTACATATAAGAATAAAAAATATTGAAGTATTCGGTTCCAGTTTATGTCAAAGTAATAATGGATTGGATTCATTTACACTTTTTCATTTAAATTTTCTTTCAATAAAATGTACTAATTTTTATTAATCGTGTTAAAATCAATGAATTAGGAAGAAGTCCCGTAACGCCGGACGGCATTTCAAGCCGGACACTATATTTAACCCTTATTATTTAAGCGAGTATAAATCTTTTTATTTCAAATTACAAGTGACAGGGGCGCGGGGGGCACACAGGTGCAGGACACGCGCCAAGACTCGCCTGTGACGCACACGGCCACGACGAGAGCAACCCTTTGTTGTTTTAGGAACAAAAACACGGCGTCACCTAAATATCAATAGAAGTAATTCTAGTGTATTTATGCATTTAGCTTCTAGTGGAATTCAAAAATAAAAGTAGTACTTGATTGTTATCCGTAAAATGGTATAAAATTATTAGATATTTTAAACAATTTTAATAGGTGAACGAAATTGTCTGTCCCTTAGCACCGGACACTAAGTCGTCTCTTAACGCCGGAAGTAAACATATTGATATTTTTTGTGAGACGTAATTTATTCGAATTATTTAATTTTGTTCTGTATGAGTGCCAACGGTCACTACATACCCCCATTTTTCGTATTTTCTAATCAAAGAATGAAAATCTTATGATGAATGCTCCAGCTGAGAGCATCGGTGTGGCTCAGACAAAAGAGGGGTTAATTAGTGATATTTTTTGCAATATCTAAGAATATTCGTCAAACACAAATGTGTAGACATTCCAGAGTGTGGAAATGGCTACTTATGTGTTCAATGCTGGTTATTTTGAAATGTCCAGTACTAGGTGCCACTTCGTAAATTCACGGTTTTTGTTACCAAAGTTTGATTGATAGTATTAATTATGGTTTAGCAAAGAATACGTTTTTGTTAATTAAGTTTGATTTCTCACTTTGCTAAATAACATAAGGCATAATTTAATAAACATTTCGTAAAATATTTTTTCATTCATTTATAAATAACCTTAGGTGCCCGGCACTCGGGGACTTTTCCCTACATAAATTATCATCTACAATTATAAACTTAATTTTTAATCATTACTTTTACTATAATCATGCCATTATCTAGTCATGCAATAGAAATTCTATATATGTAGTAAATTCTGTTGGCAAACAAAATAATTTTTGAGAAGTTTTATGATTCTTCGTCAAATCATAGTATTCACAATTAATGATAGACTATAAATAGCAATTAACTGGAGTCTTTATTCTCCCCAATATTAACAATTTTGAATAGTAGTAAATATAAAATATTTTCTATTAGTATTAGTAATGAGAAAAACATTGGTATAAAAATATAATCCGTTGAGATGGACCAAAATATGATGGTCAAAATAAAACGATTCATTGAAAATATGTACACTAGCTTATTTTAATGTTATATGTTTCGCTCTCGACAAGAAAGAGAATTTATTTTTCATAGATTTACAATCCAAAAAAATTTAAAATGGCGGTTACAAGTTTATGATGGGAGCAAACGACACTGACAGTAGTGGTAATTTTGATTTATAAAGTACATATTGCATTACAAATAACATCATAACATATAAAATTTAGAAATATAATTTTATCCAATTAGTATTAACACCATGTATTCAAAATTTTATTATACATTGAATCAATCTGTGACACTTTTCAATATGAATTTTATTTTATTATAGCATACATATGTAATTTACCATAATAAAGCAAAATATATTTGGTTCCTCATGTAGCAATTCTGATCGAGAGTAGTACTAATTTTAACTAAATTCATTTGATCAAATTTATCCCGTTGTTAACGTGTTATGTTTTCTCAATTTAACTTTTATAAGCTGAAGAACAATAAGAAACTAGCTGAAGAATTAGCTAGTTTTAAGAACGGTTGTGTCACTTTTTTGATGAGCAATAATTTTATTAGTTTACCATTTTGCTGGAAAAATAGTAAATTAAATGGTAATTTGAACATTTGTCTACGTAAAAGTACTGCGTTCACACTCCCAGGACGGTTGTGACAAGTACAAACATAGATTGAAATACAATAGGTATAAACACCCGACTAACTAATAATGAATTTTATTGTCAGAAATATGTAACACAATACAACATCATAAGATCTTCTACAAACCAGACATAACGTTTCTTTTCTTATATTGATTTTTCCGAACAAATATACTACATCTTTTGTCCTTTGGACTATATCAAAATCAGTTTAGCTGTTTTGCCAAAATGTGAGTTTGGAAAGAGGGGCCTCTTTGGCATATTTTCAATAAGATCTCGGCTATAAAGTGAGGTACAAACTTGAAAATAAGTATATCGTGGGGGCCGATTCTGTATGGCCTATACCCTTTATATCACATATATGTTTGCTTTATTCTAAATTCAAGTAACCGAATAACGAAATAACGGAAATATACTGAGGTGTCAGTGTGAAATATTCTTCTTAAGATTAATTTTCTGTGATAAAGATCAATCTAACAAATGTAGGGACTCACTTGTTATACAGCACAATATCCGGCCTCCAAATATGATCCGAAGGGACGTGCAGCATCTCGACGCCTCCGTACTCCTTCGGCTCCCATTTCAATTTGTAATCATACCAAGACTGTAAATAAATGCTCTCATATATTTCAATGGTTAGGAATTAACAAGGAAATTTTCAAGCAAAACCATTCCGGAATTTTAATAACCTCATCATTTATTAATAACTTTGTGTACATGTACGGAAACGCGTGCACAAATAATGTTTGTTCTTGTTAAAAATTCACTCAGACTTAGTCAGAAGATACGATATAACTTGTATTCTTGTATTTTTTGTCGTGATATTAAATTCTCTTGAGGTTTTAAAGTTAATGTTTGAAAATTGCGAACTATGTATCAAGATGAAACAGAAGTTCAGAATACAAGGTTTTGTTACGAAGACTTGCAACTGAATGTGCAAGTAGGTACAGAAATAAAGTCTTTTTTTCTTTTTAACTTCCTGAGGGAGAAGTTTGTTTTCATCAAAAAATCCAACTCGCTAATTTTATGTTTTCTCGACGTTTCAAGCCATTTTGAATCGAATGAGACCAAATATGGAAAAAGTATGCGTGAGCGTGAACAGATTTTTTGTCGTAAATCGACGTTTTCTCAAAAACGCCTGGACCGATTTCAAAAATTTAAAAGTCATTCGATGTATCTCGATCAGGACTATCGTTTTGTGCGACGATCCGTCAAGCCGTTCCTTTATAAATATCAGAAAAGTGAAAAATGTTTCGTCTACGTTTTAGCCCGCAATTCTGAATCGATTTTGAAAATTCAAAAACCTTTCAAAAGATATTGGTTGGGAATCGTGCTGATTAGTTTTTGATACAGATCGGGCGGGCCGTTTTCTTGTAATAAAAAAATGTTGAAAAATATTTTTTCAACGATTTTTATTAACTTCCCGTAGGGCAAGTTATAGTAATCGCAAAAAAATCAAAAATGAAAATTTTTATATATCTTTACGTTTTAGAAGTTTCTGAACATTTTGGCATATCTTAAAAAAATGGATGTATGTGTGTGTGTGTGTGTGTGTGTATGTATGTATGTGTGTGTATGTATGTGCGGATACAAATTTTCGTCGACGATTACGGAACACGGATCAACCGATTTGAATAATTCAAAAAACATTCGATTCATATTGATAAGGAGACGTGCTGATTAGTTTTTGGCGAAGTCAGGTCTAGCCGTTCCGAAGATACGGGGCAAAAAGTGCCGAAAACGGTAACTCAGTTTTTAAGAGAACGGAGCGTCCGATTTGAATAATTCAAAAAAAACATTTCACTTGTATTGACAAGATGAAGAATCGATAAAATTTTCATGAAGGTAGGTCTAGCGGTTTCGGAGATATGGAGAAAAAAGTAAAAAAATGAGCCATTTGGGGGTCAAAAATGATCATTAGACATATGCACATCAAATTATCAGATATTTTATAGAGATTTTAACAATAAGTATACATTTTGTTAACATTCCTATGGGTTCCGTACCAATGCTTATGCGTTAGACAGCGACGCGGGGCTCACGCGCTTTATATTTTGTCCCTATGCAGTTAAAGCAGTACGATTGCTTTGAAAAGAAAGTTCAGATCTTCCACAATATGTCAAAGTAAAGAAAAAAATTTTTTTTCAAAAAGAATATTAAAAATTTTTTTTTTTTTTTTTAATTTTTTTTTTCAAAAAAAAGTAATTTTTTGTCCAATTTATAGTTTCTCAAAAATCTTATTTTTTCAAAGTCAATTTTTTTCAAAAATGTTAATCGTTTTTAAAAAAATAATAATTTTTGGTACGGGAAGTTCCAGCAATTTGCCTTAAGGCACGATGCCTTAATTGCCTTAAGACAGAATTCCACTTACAGCTAGTTATTATTTTTTTTGACCGTACATACCATAGTTTTATAGATCATACTAAAATATTACGGAAATTTAGTATAGTATTATTAGTATTATTAGTATCGTTTTTTGGCATTTGTCAAAACTAGAATTTTCATCGACGTTTGCTCAAAAACGCCTGAACCGATATCAGAAATTTTAATTTGATTATTTGATGTATCCCGATGAGGATTATTGTTCCTAAGTTTTGTGCAACAATCGGCCAAGCCGTTCTTTTGTAATTTGGAAAAAAGTATTATACTTTTTGTCCACATTTAAGCTCATACTACTGAATCGATTTTGAAAAATCAAAAAGATATTAGTTTGAAAGATATTAGTTGGAAATGATACTGATTAGTTTTAGGTTAAAGTCTACCGAGCCGTTTTCTTGTAATTAACTGTTGAAAGAAAATTTTAAGCCAATTTTTATGAAACTTTTTTTGGCGATGTATATCATGGACTTATAGAACTTACTGAAATATAACGGCCTTACGACAAGTAGTTTAATTTTAAAAATTCATCAAAGTTTGAGAAAATGAGTAGTTTTGTTGACATTTGTTAAAAATTAGTCGATTTACTTGGTATAACGATAGAATACTTGGTTTTAATGAACATACTAAACCATTAAAGTCCTACGGAAACTGGTTCAATTATAAAAAAATGATTGATTTTTGAAAATTTGTTTTTGGAAAATACTCCGAGTTAACGTGTTCGTTCGTTTTCAATTATGTGTAATAAATACACTCGATACTTTTAATCACTCATAAATTAATTTATTTTTTTAATTGATTAAGTCGATTATTTACATATATAGGAAAATTCATGTAACTTGCCGAAAGGCAAAATACCAATACCAACTAGTTTAATTTATTTTTCGTAACAGAATTTACATTTTTATTTACCATTTTTATTGCTCACACTTTGTCAGAGCAAATTTCAGTTGGTCCATTTTGCCCCACCCACATATAGTGCTTATATAAAAACATCTGTTGAATCTAACTCAGAATTAACAATATATTTTATAAAACAATTAAATAACATATATTTAAAAATTACATTGAGGTCTTCGAAAACTAAACAATAGTGCCAAACTAACAAAAAGCGAAAATATTTTTATTATGCATTTTCAAACATTGCCGTTTATCTCCCAATAGTAATATCATAAGAATCAAGGCATTCACATCTCTTTTCTTCTACTTTTAAATATTGTTAGTTAAAAATTCCTACCACCACCCGTTTTTGAGATATTGGTAGCAAAAAAATATTAGTTAATAATAATAAAATTAGACAAATATCATTTGATATTGCCTCTGTCATCCAAACTAATAGTTTTATTAAAAGACAAATTGATGTCTGGAATTTTGCTCCATGTAGTTTGACAAAGAACTGAACTTGTGATATCAAAAAACTTTATCAATCTTTGTTTATCTCCATCACTTACAACGTTCATTTAATATTCGAGAACGTACTCCGTCGAGATAATATTTGACAACGGCCCATGATACACTGCGCTGCAAGAGCATTTCCGACCGCCCTTTGGGGAAAATTCATATAAGTTTGTACCGGAAAACCGTAGCGCGGTCTTCTGGCATATTAAATATTTACCGATGTATTGTTAGCGCACAGGGATGGAGTGAGGGAAATGGATAAACTCGCATGAGGAAAACTTAGGAAAACTCTAGAGAGCCCCGTGTTTGAGCGACTTAATTAAGTTTGGTAACAGACAGGCTCGCTCAGTTGCTGTTTTTCCTATGGTTGCGCACACATATCGCGACGACACTACGGAGAACGGAACTTCTATCACGGGACACGTCAAGAAAAACAATTGACTTATTTAGCACATTCGAGGATAGCTCTCGAGAAAAAAATCACAGGAAAATATTTACTCGAGATACACACACACACACACACACATATATATATATATATATATATATATATTCATATACATATACATACAGATATATAGAGCTAGCGGGGATAAAAGGTCCGCAGATAAAAAGACCCACTACCAATATATCAAAAATCAGGAAAGTTAAGAATTTTTTTAACAACAATATTTGAAAATATAGGTAAAAAGATGTATAACCAGACACAACTTTGATTCTTACGACGTTGCTATAGGGAAAAAAACAGCAATGTTTAAAAATCCATGAAAATGTATTTTATAAAATGTATTGTTAATTAACTTCCCGTAGGGTAGTTATAGTAATGGGCCGAAAATCGAAAATAAAAATTTTTGCACATCTTTACGTTTTGAAGGTTTCTGAACATTTTGGCATATCTCAGAAAAATTGATGTGTGTGTTTGTTTTGTATGTCCGAATTTTTTCGTCCACGTTTTCGGGCTTAACCGATCAACCGATTTGAATGGTTCAAAAAACATTCGATTCCTATTGATAGGGAGATGTGCATATCAGTTTTTGGCAAAGGCAGGTCCAGCCGTTACGGAGATAGGAAGCAAATAATGCAGAAAATACAAATCGAATTGTTGACAGAACGGAGTATCCGATTTAAATGATCAAAAACATTCAATTTGTAATGATTGGAAGAAGAGGTGATTAGTTTTTGGCAAAGGAAGGTCCAGCGATTTTGAAGTTACAGAGATAAATGTGCAAAAAATGTCATTTTTTGAGAGAACTAAGCATACGAATTGAATGTTTCAAAAAACTTTTTGCTTTTTCTAATAAATAATTGTTTTTCGAAAAAAATATAATGTTACAATATTTATTTATAATAATCTATTTGTAAACATTTAATATTCCTCGAACATTTTGTAACGGTACGGAAAGTTTCAGCAATTCACTTTGAGGCACGATGCCATACACCACTAGTTTTAATTTAGATTTAACAGTTTTTTTATATAATCTTTATAAAAGCTTACACATATGGGGTAAAAGACACCAACAAAACTTTCACACTGGCAATGGTGTAAAACAATATATTAAGGTAAAATAAGCAATTTCACAAAAGAAAATATCTCTGACGAGATATCAGATCAAGTGTTGTCCTTGTAAAAAATTTACTCGAAAAATTTATATTTTGCATTGGTTGAATAATGTAGCTATTATTCGGTAAAAAACTTTTAAAATTAAAATAAAACATTGGACGTCCAAATTTTGTTTTGTGTAAAAAATGTATAAATAATCAAAACTCCACCAAACATCTGATTATTGTACCTAATAAAATTAATAGAAATCACTAGTACTGGCATAAAATAATTGAATGTAATTGAAACATTAAAATTATGAAAATAAGAAAAACTCTCTCAAAATAAACTTGACAAAACGCCAAATGCGTTTGAACTGATTACTGTGACAATGACGCTCAATATCTGACAAGTATGTAATTATGGATTTCTGCATGTTATATAGTCGCGGAAACAATACTTAAACTATCCAATTTTTAAATAAAGCCACTCGGTCATTTTGTCCTTAAATAGGGCTAAAATATCCCTATTTTTCCTACTACCGGAGAATGCTTGCATTAACTTTTTGTGTACATTTTTAGCTTTTTGGGTAAAAACACCAAATATTTCACTTTCCCATCATGCAAATTTTAAATAGCTCAAAGGAAAGTATAGGTATTCATGAACGATTTAATTTGATTTCCAATAATTTTAGACAAAAATTGTCGTTTTTTTATTTACTCCCTGAATGAATTAACACACTTTTTATCAAGATGAACTAGAGTAGATAAAAAATATTCTACTTTCTTTCAAATACAATATGCAGTAATTTGTATTAATAAACTATAAGAAATAAACTGTATTTAAATAACGCCCGAAATGCACATTTGAGTTTCGATATCGGCAACGTTTTTTGGAACTAGAATGAGTCGATTGAATTCGGGGGGCTCGCATAATTTAGTTCTTTCTACTATAAATATATTTATTAAAATATTTTTTCTATATTTATTAAAAAAAATTGTATTTGACACTGGCTACTTCTACTATTGTCAATTTATCTGTCGTATGTATTCTAGTTATATTATCTTTAAAATTACCAGATTGTCGACTAAAGACAGTTGTAAATTATATGGTGAAAAAAATTAAAATTTCTGTTTATGTCACAGTAAATATTTTTTTAAGATATCATATCACATCTAAAATTTGTTTTTAAATAAATTATTGTAGCAAACAGAAGAAAGATATGCAATATGCAACACATTTTATACATTTAGTAAAAAATAATGAATGAACAAGCACCTTTTATTATAAATATATGAATATTTTTATCGTGACTTATACAAATATTCACTTGATATATAATACGTTAACCTGAAAAAAAAATGTATCTTCATATACAAACATAATTTTAATGAATCTCTCGCTGAACCAATATTTAATTCCGACAGGTCTTTGAATATGCCACTCATTTTATTTCTAGCAAAAACATGAAAAGCAATTATATATCTTGTTTTAAATTATGAATCCATTGCGGGCTAATGAGATCAAGCGATTTGAATTAAAAATCCAATTTATCCCGAAAATCATTTCACGCGATGCAAACTAATCAATGTGTTTGCTTAATAAATTCTTCAGTTGTTTTTTTTATTAAATATTGTACTACATTTATATATTTGAGACAATTTTATCATTTTCGCTCAAAAGAATATGAAAACAATAATAATGTGATAGATCATCTTGCAAAAAGTTGATCGATTTTTGTTGCAACTTGCAAATACCATATTGCAAATTAAGCAACTTAAGTTGAGACATTTAAATATCAAATATACAAATCTATATATATATATATATATATATATATATATTAACAAAGTCTAATAATCGGGCATAACATCAATAAAAAACATGAATTTCTTTCAAAAATTTATTTTAAATCCATACGTTTCGGCTATAATCCTAGCCTTCATTCAGTGGAAACTAAAATTAAAATTAAAAACTAAAACAATTGAATTGGAGTGAAAAGAAAAAAATAAAATAGTAATTAGTACTTACAATTAGTTGATCTTAGTGTTAAATTGGAAAATTTTAATAATCCATGGTATTAGGATATGGTAATGCACTACACTATGTATTATAAACATTAACTTGAAATTACACATTACAATTGTGAAAATATTGTGTAATTTCAAGTTAATGTTTATAATACATAGTGTAGTGCATTACCATATCCTAATACCATGGATTATTAAAATTTTCCAATTTAACACTAAGATCAACTAATTGTAAGTACTAATTACTATTTTATTTTTTTCTTTTCACTCCAATTCAATTGTTTTAGTTTTTAATTTTATTTTTAGTTTCCACTGAATGAAGGCTAGGATTATGGCCGGAACGTATGGATTTGAAATAAATTTTTGAAAGAAATTCATGTTTTTTATTGATGTTATGCCCGATTATTAGACTTTGTTAATACATATGTCAACATCAAATTCAGAATCATACAAAATATATATATATATATATATATATATATATATTATTAAATATATTACCTGTTCAACCCAAAGATTCGTCGTCATGATTTGATTTTTGAGATTCTGAAACAAACAGAAAAAAAAATTAATTTGCTATCAAAGTCGTTTTTTTCATCTTTAACGATGGCTTTGACAAAATGTCATTTCGCTTCGTTTATTTTCATCAAAACAGTTTTTGAAACATTCTGTAAATGACAACGTATCAGAAAAATAACGAACATATGAATTTTATTTATTTTTGGTAAGTGTTCATCGCTACTCGTTTTGTCGTTAGAAAAATACTGTTCGGAAAATCGTTTCTATCTCTGAAACGCAGTGTGACAATTTGCAAACGACAGGTGGAGAAAATCGATTCGGTTCCCTGAAGATATGAAAAGAAAAAAACACTTTGCGCACATTAATACATACCAGGAACAGGAGATGTGCAGTTGATATTCTATGAGACAGACATAAATCTAAAAGACATCTACGACAGTAGTGAAGCTTATCATGTGACAGATTTATTTAAAATACTGTCGTTAAGACTTAATATTAATTTAATCTCTACTATCTTCATCGATTTACGCCAAAAACATCACATTCATCATACTTCTTAATAAATTTTAGATCTTTTAGAAAATAATTAATAATTAACTGTTGTACTTAAAATATATATATATATATATATATATATATATATATATTGAAAAGTAAAGGTGACGAATGATTTGATGCTGTATCTCATAATGCTTTTCAAAATGTCAAGGGCAATAATTAGCAATTTTATCATATTTTCATTCTTTATTATAGAAATTATAAAATTTCCTGATTTTAGCGAAAATTAGTGTTTCTGCTTAGTAATTTTGTTGCAAAGGATGCACCATCATCAATGCTCGCCTAGTTTATTCTATCAAATTATTAGCCGTTTATCCATTTGTAAATTATTCGTCAATGCAATTTTAACGTCCACTTTGTCTAAACCTTGTGAAAAGCAAATAAATTTTCGGATAAATCATTAATACATAAAGAGATTCAAAATTATAAAATTATGTTTATCATTTATTTTTATAAAATTTTCAATTTATCCTTTTTTACCCCATAAGCTAAGCAAAAAGGGACAGCCACCGGGCAAACAAATACAAAGCCGTAGCTTTAAATCTAAAGGAATTTTATGAAATAATAGCTGAACTAGTGGTGTATGGCATCGTGTCTTAAGACAAATTGCTGGAACTTCCCGTACCGTAACAAAATTTTCTAAGAATATTAAATGTTTTCAAATAGATTATTATAAATACTGTAATATTGTCAAATATTTAAAAGTGTTATTCATAAACTGACTGGTAAAGCTAAAATTATTTATTTAAACTATATAAGTGAGCTTTAAAACTATACCCAGAGATTAAAATCTGAGTTTTGATATACAAAAAAAAAATAATCTTGAAATAATTTTTTTCCCAAAGCAATTGACTTGTCAACACAAGCAGAAAGTCTTTTAAATCGTTCAAATCGGATGCTAAGTTTTCTCAAAAACTGCGATTTTTTGCACATTTAGCTCCGAATCTTTGATATGACTGGGCTTGCCTTTGCCAAAAACTAATCACAACTGTTCCTAAAAATTTAAAATTAAATGTTTTTTAGATAATTCAAATTGGATACTCAGTTTTCTCAAAATTTCTATTTTCTGCACTCTTTGCTCCGTATCTCAGTCACGGCTGGAGCTGCCTTTGTCAAAAAAATCGGTTGATCCATGCGCCCGAAAACGTAGACAAATAATTGCGAACACACAAAACACACACACATCAATTTTTGCTGAGGTATTCCAAATGTTCTTAAACCACTGAACCGTAAAGATATGCAAAAAAATCACTTTAATTTTACGGGATTCTACGAAAAGTTAATTATTTAACCACATTTTTACAAAGATTATGTTGTATATAACATTGACTTGGTATTTCTTCAGAAATATAAAAATACCAAAGCAAGGAAGTTAAAAGTGCTATCTCTGGAAAAAATATGCACATGAAATTTATGTTTTGCATTAGTTGAATGATGTAGCTATTAATTCAGAAAATCTTCTTAAAATTAAAAACAAGACCTTAAACCTATTTGTTCTCTAGCCGTCCCATTTGAACCTGCCTATGAAAGTAAAGGACTAGGTATTTTTTTTTTTTGAAAAAAACAGCAAATAAAACACATTTCTATCATGAGATAAGAGTTTTGCTGAACATAGTCCAATAGTTTGTTTATATGCGATTTCTTTTATTTATTGTATTTTTGACTTTTTATACTAGTACATTAGTCATATACACTACTTCAATCAACTTTTCAATTTTATGTAATTGATTTGAATATAAATTGATAGGGCACCATATATTCTTTTTTTAGTCAACCATATTTTAAAATTAGGTGGGAGTGAGATTTTTTGCCTTAGTATCTCCCTCCATAGTTCTTGCCTACCCTTTTCCCATTTTTAACACTCCATGATGGCGTCATCTGTGTTTTCAATTGTCACATAATTGGTTTGGTTTTCACAATATAATTGCTCAAACTAAAATTGGAACTGTGTTTCTCGTCCTACCTTATATATATATATATATATATATATATATATATATCATAAAAGATTTGCTAAATGATGATATATGTCAAGTAATGAAACGTTTAAATAAAAGGTTGTCAATATTTTTTTTAATTCGACGAATCGGCTGCCAAACATATCAGATATGTTTCAACTAAATAAAAATAATCAAGATCATATATATACGTCCGCGATCGGAAAAATATAAGTCTGCGAATACTTTTATACAACAGTCGGATGTTTGGTGAGGCGTAAAGAACGATACCACCGCGGGCATGAGCAATATAACAAATGACAGTAACATTGCAACGCTTATATAAAAGGAGACAACTTTACACAAAAAGCCATTAGGTAACCGGCGAGCGAAACCCGTACTGTTTTCCTCAACGTAAAACGCTTATGAAAAGCATTGATTAGATTTCCCCGGTGAAAACTCGGAGAAAAGTGACACGAAGCGATAGAAACGGCTCTTGTATAGATGTAAATACAAAAGAAACGCTCGTTTCGTTCACAGAAAACGGAAGTCGAGGTTTATTCGACTATTAATAGTTCCACTTTGCATTGTTTGCTAACAAAAGAAAAACCTGTTTATAAAAGAAAAGCATGTTTTTGTGCGGATTTTTATTTTTTACGAACTTTTCTCGTGGATGATTGAGTTATGAGCATTGTGAAAATATTTGCTTTGCAAAATGAATTGTGGTGCAGTAAACCATAAAATGCTAAAATGAATGCATATTTTATAATGTAATCAAACAAATTTATATGCAACTAATATTAAATTTTTATACAGCATTCAAATTAGTTTAGAATGCAATATTGTTAATGAAATGATTTTATGGTACGTAAATATAAAAATAATTTATTGCTAATATAATATTCCGCTACATTTATTAGCTCATATTTTTTAATTATGAAGTTTGCTCAATTGTAAAAATTTACTAGAACTTTTATCGCCATATTTTAGTATTAACAAAAAATTTCGACATTAAAAAGTATAGGGGAGACTGGGTACGGTTGTGCCAAATTACAGTAGTTGCCAATACAGCCAAACTATACTGATTTTGGGATAAGGTGCTAAGGAAGAAAGATGAAGTATGTTTGTTAGAACAAGTTTTCATTATTGTATTGAGTCAGCGCCCTACATTAACAAGATCTGTAGACCGAATTGCTCTAAAAAAGCCAAAAATAAGTTTTTTGTTCAATTTCTTTTAATAATAACTGCTGCTTGTATACATATAGATCTCTTTGTTATTTTGCTGTAAGTTAAACATTAATGGTTAATTACTACAAATTAGTTTTGTTTTATGTGACACGTACTTCTTGTCCTGTCTGAGTGAAATTTGAAAAGATAAACAGTTTAGAAAATTATGTTTTGTTATATATTATATTCATAGGCTTTGTGTCAATGATTATGTTGTGTTGTGTTGCATAGTTCTGACAATTAAAGTCGTTATAAATCATTTATATCTATTGTTTTTTATCCTTGGGCGGTTATGCCCTTGTTTGTATGATTTGATTTTATGACTGAGGCATCGTATTTAAGCATAGTATTTCAGTATTTTCACGTAGAGAAATTAGTTCAAATAACCATTAAATTTACTTTTCTCCTAGCTAGCTAGTAAATCAACCAAATTATTGCTGATAAAAAGTGGCACAACAGTACCAAGTCTTTCCTACTATAGCATATGAAACAAAGTATAAATTTATCAAAAATAATATTAAACATTATAGTAGTCTAATATATATACTTTAGTATAATATATCACTATCCGTTCAGTAAAAATTTTGTTATTTACTTTGAAAATATCAGATCAATGTTTCTCTATATAATATTTCCAATTATAATTATAGTTCTATAATTTTAGTAGAAGGTAAAATATGAGAGTTAGCATCCTAATTTTAACGATGTCGCTATTAAGAGATGAAAGATCATGTATAAAATAAATAACGAAAGTATTTTAATTCGCGGGTATTGTTTTGATTTTCAGCTCTTTTATTCAGTTATAATACCTGATAATAATTTTTAAATAAACAATTTTAGTTATTTAATTGTTTTACTAAATAAGATATAAGATAAGATACAATTTTATAGAAGATTAATTCAAGAAATACTTACTCCAACTGTACTGCTGATAATTTCTTTCGAATTACCAGACCAAGTTTATATACATTGTAAAAAATGTATCCATGAAATTTATAAAAGCCCATAATGTAGCAATTATTTTGCAAAATCCTTTAAAAATTAAAGATAGGACATTGGTGGACCGAAATTAAAGATGAACCGGCTATGTTATGAAGAACTTTCCATACTAAATTTGTGTCAGGCTAACTGGGCAGAAAACCTAACCTAGAAACCGCATAAATGTCAAAAAACCGATCTTAGATAACAGAGTCTTTCTGACCCAGCTTCATAACATACAAGTGACGTTTCAGTTTCCGTGTAAAACGCCTGAATGCACAGCAAATACATGGCTGGGAATTTTGCTGAACATAGTTCGATAGTTGC